GATATATTATGTAAAAAAAGTGGTAAAAGCGTGAAGGAATTCCATACAGATGGATTGCATTTTTATATATGCATATATATTATACTAATAATCGAGTATACAAAACAAAATTCATTACAAAATCGAGAAAAAAAGTAAATTTTTATACAGAAACATTAAATTGCTAAATGAATGTTTATTTGCAATTTACTGTGTCCATATATAAACAGTCAAGTATAAATTTTTTATGTATTTGGCACGATTGAAATTTATAAAATATAAATGTTTATTTACATATTGAAATTACACTTGAATTTTTTAAATGCTATCAAGTCATTAAAGATTAAATTATACATTGCATACAAAGCAAATTGTGCATAAATGTACGTCATACAGAATAGAAATAGATATATGTATATATATGTTATACCCTATACAATTTCAGAAAAAACTTTCAGTTTATTTTAGATTATGTGATATTGTTTAAGCATAGAACAATGTCCCAATGAGTTATGATCTAATTTGTTTAATTATTTTTCTAGATCCAATCGAGTTTTTGAAACTTACTTCCCAAAATAAAACTTAGTATACAACTAATAGCTGAAATTTACATAAATAACACTATCAAAGTGTCTACAGTAAACAATATCCTATTTCAATTATTATTATCTTGGGAGATTTAGATCGCAGGGTTAACAACTTAAACATCTATCGTCCTCTTTTTGTGAATCTTATTGTTTCTCCTATCGGAGTTGTATTTCTTCATCTGATATGAGATGTGCTCTAAGGTATTTCTATCGGCTATGTTTCAGAGCCGGGCAAACTCCCGGCATGGAAATACCCTACAAAATCTACAAGTTCCATTACAACACGTTTGCAGTTGTGTAAGTGGAGACTTTAACTAAAACTTTAGAATTATATTTACTTGGTTGCATACAATCCTTTCAGGTTGCAAGTCCCTATAAACGATTTTTATTGTGATAGCTCTAGATCATACCAGTATAGCTTTATTTGTATCTTCTCTTTTTTTTCGAAGAGGAAAGAGGACCAAGCTTGTCTTCTCTTAACTCACAGAAGGGTCCCAACAGAAAGGCTGTGGCTTTTTCTGGTAGGCTTGTCTTTAAGCCCACTTCTAAACTAAGAACTAAAATTTATACAAACAATAAAAGAATTCGTGGATTAAATTTTTAGCAAAAAGTATTTAAAGTACATAACAGACTCTCAATTGTAGTATTTAGGACGTGTGCGAGTTAGGCTAAGTTGCGTTCTAAATGAAAGACATTCTAAGTTGTGCTGATAATGCAGTGATATATCGATACGTGTTGATAAATGGCTAAATGTGTGCAGTGCAAAAAATCCCAAAAAATCTCCCATTTGGTTTAGCATCAACTTAGCCTAACTCGTACACTTCCTTAGTACTAATTTGGACTACTTATATTACAAATTAATTTGAAAAATATACACTGAGAACTAAGGAAATACAAAAAAATAGCCCCCCAACATAAGATATTATACTATCACTGGTATGTAGGAAACTAAAAGATATGGATATAAAGATATAATGTCATTTTTAGTGTTGTAGCAAGTACAACTTAAAAATAAAAATTATATATGAAGCGTTGAAACATTATCCAAAAAGATGAAAAGAATAAAATATAAATTTAATTTTTAAGGTCAATTATGACGAAAGAAAGTATGTTTCTTAATAGAAACTATTGTTTTTACATAGAAGCACGAGTATTTTGAGCAGTAGTGAATTACAACAACAAACTTTTTATTATTTATTAATTAGCAAAAAATTTAATTAATAAATAAATAATAAAAAATAAAATACTAATATATAATAATAATAATATTAACATTATATTAACATTATAAATATATAAATTAATTAAATTAATTTATTTCAACGACTGACATTATTATTTCCACAGCTGACAAACAAAAGATCATATACCCAACAGCTATTTGTTATTTTATATATATTTATGTTTACATCCTAATACATTTACTTATTGCAATATCTGAAGATTACTCATAGTAGAAAGTAACCAACTACTTCATCTGTATATTCATTTGTCACACCTTACCAACTACTTTGAAACACTTCGATCATTGTATACATACATATGTCACTTAAAAGATCAAAGGTCTTTCCGCCTGGTGACAAGTTAAATTAGAAAATACCTTTTTCAAACATTGATATTCACTATCTGTACTTGCTTTATTTGCACAAAAAAAATATTAGCACTAAATGCAAATTGTTTTTCAAAAAAAAAAAAAAAAAAGCAACTGAAACTAGTAAAACACTGGTTATTTGTTTACCAAATTTTTGACCCTAAAAAAAACTGGATTTCGCAACAACTACGTTATCTTTACTGATAAATTGAAGGTGAACTATATATTGTAATTATCCATTCTCATTTCTCAATAGTTTGGCATTATGGTAGATATCGTTTATAACCCATTTCACATGAAACATGATCAGCTTAGACCATAAGAAGCAGACTTATAAATGAATTTTAGGGTGTACTTATTAGTTCTTACCACGATCATTGAACCAATTTATTGCATATCAGAATATCAGATAGATATTTTGAAAAAGAATTACCGACTTTTAGCGTGTGCCAGACATAAGTGATAGAGTAGGTATAATATACATTACACGTAGATAGAGGAATAGGTATTAAATGCATATTAACCCATCAGATAATCTGTTATTTGTACAGCAATTGTATTGAACAGTAAAAACAATCTAGATCACTCAGGTGCTTTGTTCTATTTTAATTTTGGAACCTATCTATTTATACATATTATCATATGTATAATTTGACATTTATGGTCGGGCATTACCTTATTAAACACAGATAGAACTGAGAATAAATTGAGACCCATATCTAGGAAGATCGATGTTAAAAGAAATCACGTTCCACAATTTATAAATTTATAGGTCTTGTAACAATCTGGAATGTTACTGTCATCTAAAGTTAGGTTTTCCAAATAACAATTTATTTGGTTTTATTTTATTTAAAAAGATGACATTATTTAAAAAAGTGATGACGAAGGAACGACCTACGATATTTATTCTGCTTAGAAAGAGTTTGGAAACGGTATAAACTGTACTATAAACTATAAAGTGTACATTCTACATTCGAAAAGCAAATACATAGAGAGTAATAATAACAACAAATTTTTAATTTTAATGCAATAAGGTTTGGTACATAAGGCTTTACACTTTTTAATACTCATATGTCTATATGCGCATTTTTATATAGTACATAAATGTGTTTATGCACATATAGATAATAAGGAACATAAGGATAACACATTTTACTAATATGTGTAAAACGAATAACATTCTTTTAAAAGAAAAATTATAAGCTAGTTTATGCTACTGAAATTATAACAAAAGTTACTAAAATTGCTCATATGATTCTGTATACATAAGTACATTTCACATGTGAAGTGGCCCTATGCTCTATTGGTAGTTAATGGAACAAAGAAGAGAAAGAAGATATATATAATTATATATATCAGTTGATAAGTACATATTAATTGCAACGACCATATTATGATCCACACTATTAATGTTAGGTACTCATATTTACTTACTAAAATCGCTATATATAAAAAATTTCGTTATAATTTCTAGACATTTTTATGTTTACTTCGCGCAATTATGTTTGTAAAGAAATTTCTAAACTTTACAAGGTGTCTAGAAATAAATCAGCACAATTTGTAATGTTATCCAATTCAAAACCTTAATAAAAGTATTCAATACATTTCTAGACATATGACCATTATATTTTAAAAAACTTCCCTTCCTTGTGCCCTGAACCAATATAAAAATAAGACTATCCTAAACATAAATTCTCGAATTACTTATTCTATTTAAATATTTGACTATTTTTAAATGAATGTCATGTGTTCATACAAACAGTTTAATATTACAAGTACATTTCACATGTGATATATACTGGTATAGTACTGTGCATTCATTATTCGTATTGAAACGCATATTTGCATATATCTCCAAACAAAAATTGTGGGCAGATGTGCAACATTTCTGAAGTATATTTTATGTGAAGCACAAAAAAACAGAAAGAAAAAAACGTTACTATGTTAAATGAACTATAATATATTTAAAGCTGGAGAAATATTATACAATATCTGTCAGACGTAGACAGAAAAGGAAATTATAAAAACACCCATTTCAACTGCACACAACCACTTGACTGGCACTGTGCCAGTTTAAAATTATTTTAAATAATTAGAGGATTCAAAATCATCAAGTTGAGGAAATATAATATGTAAATATATATAGTTTTTTATTTTATTTGTTTAAAAAACAAATGTTCACTTAGCTAATATAAGTTTTTTTTTTCTTGACGATAATTGTGAATATATTTTCTTTGTGATTTAATCGTTTTATTATATACACGAATATAACATACTTTTAAAATGAATCTTTAAAGAAGCTCGAAAGAACGATAGCAAAACGATGACAATAATACGAGATCGTCCTGATCTTGACCGCAAATCTCATGACAGTTAGTCAAAAGAGTTTAATAAAAAATTTATAATTAATTTTTTATCTAATTTATACATTTATATAATGTGATTCATTTGATTTGAATTGCATTTTGCTAAAGACTTTAGCTCGGAAATTAGTATATATAGTTATTATTACCTTTCCTAAACTTATTATTTGTCAGATTTTATATATTTCTACAAAGGGTTAAATGTACTAATATTACCTTTTGGGTTTCTAAAATTTTAAATCTGTATTATAAACATAATTTATAAGACTTTTCTAACTATAAATATTACAATTTTATATTGCAAAATGTATATATTTTTTTAAAGAATATATTAAATAGATCTGGTCATTTATTTAACTTAAATCATAAAAGTTAATTATATTTTAATATAACTTTCAACAATAAATAAATATATATACTATATAGACATATATTCGAAAATAGTTTTATAAATACTACTTATATTTCTTTTAGACTTACCTCTTCCAGTACTGAAATTGTTTGACGACAATCCGGCATTCTGGTTGCAAATTTTGACGTTGTAGGCGAATTATAATCATCTCGAGTCTCTTCCACAAACTCCGATATACCAATGAGTGCTGGCGGCATTTTGATCAATTCTACCTTGAGCACTGTAATCAGTGCGCCGCCACAGGGGTGTTATCAAGAGAAATGGAAACAAAAAACAAGCTGCAAGAATTAAGGCAAACGTACAAATAAAAAAAATTCGTAGCAGCTGCAATAAACGAACAAATGAAAATACAGTTTTGTTGTTGTTGTTAGTCTAACACAATTTCAAATAATTTTTGATATACTTTAATTTTGTCTAAATTACTTTTTTTCAATGCAAATAATAATTTATATTCTGCACATGTTGAATTTCATTTTATAATTTATTAATTTACAGTATAAAGTTTCACTTTTTTATCAATTTCGCCATCATCTCCTTGGAATAGAGAAATGTACATTACAGTTGACACCCATTTTTTCGTTTACTACACAATATTAGTATATAATTTTATTCAAACAAAACTTATAATAAATATAATTACTTTGTAATATGATAATATTTATATATATTTTCGCATTTAAATACGCATCAATTAAAATTTTCTATTTTTTAGCACTTTGTCACTACCATTGCACATTATTATTTTTCACATTTTTTTTTTTAATAGAACAAGTTTAATGTTTTATAAATTTCGTTGTTTTCTTATAATATTTACACATATGTATATAAATGTATGAATTAATCTTTTTTACATTTTACTATTAAATAAAAACACACACACGAAATGCCTTACAGCTTCAGTGACAATTCGATACTACAGCACAAAAATTTGGTGGGTAATTAAATAAAAAATAAAACACGCGCAAAAGCAAAACGCAGAAAGGACTCAAGGTTGTATCTAAAGCACTAATTTTATTTTCTGTAATATTTTTATTGATATATATGATATATTAAAACTATATCTGAAAATATTTTGATCGTTGTAACAATTTGACATTTTTATACATGTATTTAAAATATTTACAAAAAATAATAGTCTTGAAGTTTTGCTGTTAAAAAAATATTATTAAGGTTTATAAATACAGAAACATTTCGCATATTAATATCTCGGAAATATTTTCTGCTAGAAATTTATTTTCCAAGTGATTGTAATCTGTACCTGAAGAAATAACTATTTGAAGAGTATATATATTTATTGTACTGTTATGCTTTACATCGGAAATCTGTACTAAAATCTAGTGTGTACGTTCAGTGACTGCTGTAAGTTAAATACAATAAAAAAAATTATTTTTATACATTGGCAAGTCTGTATATTACTTGTCATTTGAGTATTAATTTTTGGTTAAATACTTTGCCGGTTTTTATTTTATTGATATATTGGTTAATTTAAGTAAAACGTAAATTTTCACGCATTGATTATGACTGCGAAACGACAAGCTACTTCTGAATTAAACCATGATAATTGGGATGAAGACGACAAGGTAGAAGAACGTGGACAATTTCGCACAGCATCGGAAGACGAACTCAAAAATCGCATTATCAAAAAAGCTCGCCGCAAAAATGTTACGACCGAAAATGAAAATCCAAAATCTATTTTTAGTGGCTTTGGAGGTGAGTATATATTTAAATTTCAAAATATTCCTAACCTAACCTATAGATTTTCAAAATATTATAATATCATTTATTAGGTTTTGGAAGCACGCGCCCTGCTACCAGCACTTCATCGGCATTTTCATTTTTATCTAATTTAACTAATGCGGACACAAATGCTAATAAAACCACAACTAATGTTGTCGAGCAAGTAGATTCATTAAAAACATCAATATTTGCCGGCAGTTCTTCCTCTAAAAAAACCCATACTGATGAAACTACTAAACCAGATACAGATGATAAAACACTTAAGACATCCATATATCATGGGAAGTTAAAGGGACTTAATCAAGCAGTCGCTAAATGGATTAAGCAACATGTAGATGAGAATCCATTATGTATTTTAACCCCAATTTTCAAAGATTATGAAAAGTACATGGTGGAAATAGAAAAATATAATAATACTGATTTAGAGAAAAATGCAAATGTACCACTAACTTTTACCAAACCTGCCACTGATGCAGGAAGTACTTCTAAAAAGGAAATAACTACAAGCATTTTTGGAAGTAAACAAACATCTTCTGAAACTACAAAAGCAAACGGAGAAGCATCGGCACCAGCACCAGCACCTAGTTTCAGTTTTGGTTTAAAATCAAACGAAACAAGTGGAAGTTCGGCTGGTACATTTAGCTTTTCGGCAAAGAGTGATACTAAACCAAGCTTACCTGAAACTTTTACATTTGGAACTAAAACTAATGAAACAGCTACGTCAAATGTAAGTTTCAATTTTGGTGCTAACACAGATAAATCACCCGCAAGCCAGGCCAAAGGTTTCAGTTTTGCGCAGGAATCTGATGAAAAGCCGAAAAGTTTGTCGTTACCTACTTTCTCCTTTGGAAAGCCGTTGGGTGGCAGTGACGATAAAAAACCGGCAGGTTTTAGTTTTTCACTTGGTGCAACTCCATTTACATTTGGTAATATTCAACCGCCTGCTGCCACCACTGATAAAACAAATGATGAAGAGGACGAGGATGACGAGCCACCCAAAGTTGAATTTAAGCAGGTATTAAAATGAATAAATTTATTGTTAAAATTTTATTTCACTATATCATTACTTAGGTTGTTGAAGAAGATGCAATTTATTCTAAAAAATGTAAAGTGTTTATTAAAAAGGAAGGAAATTACACTGAACGAGGTGTTGGCACCTTGTATATTAAAGCTGTCGATGAGAATAAGAAGCAATTAATTGTTAGAGCTGATACAAGTCTTGGCAACGTACTAGTAAATCTTATTTTAAATTCTTCAATACCAGCACAACGTTTAGGAAAAAATAATGTAATGATGGTGTGTCTCCCAACACCAGAAATGACGCAACCAACATCGTTATTGTTGCGCGTAAAAACAGGAGAGGAAGCCGATGACCTGTTAGAAAATATCGAAAAGCATAAAAAATGAATTGCAAGAATATTTTTTATATTGTTTAACGTTTATGTTATAGAAACTAAAATATAGAATTTTATTTTAAAGATTAGAGTTGATGCATTTTCTTAAGTTTAATAGTTTTTCCAAGTAATTATTACTCAAATAATGTCTTTGCTTTGTTAGTGTACTTAAAAGGCTATTAACTCCGATATAAATAAGCTTTGCATTAATGAATACATCAAAGTAAATCAAACTGAGGTGTTTATGGAGTATAAATTTTTTTTGACATAAAAGCTTTATTTTGCTTTTCTGATTTAAGGTTTGATTCTAAGCAATAACGGCTTGAAAGTAATGTGGATAGATTACCCAAAAAAATAACTAATTGGTATTAATTGTAAAAAGTACAGTTCTCTTTAGTAAACATTTTAATTTAAAATCCACTACTGTCTGTAATTATTATTATTGTTTTATTAAATTTTGTTTTTATTATTGCATTGTTTTTAAATTTGAATTGTGCAACTTAAATATAAAAAACTAAATAACTTTTTGGTTAATACGAATTTATTCATATTGTATACTCTACATTGGATAATAATACATTAATTTAATTTAGAGTGGGAAAATAAATAACTTGTTTTAAATAAAGATAACAATTCTGTGAATTTCGAATGCGAATAAGTAAATGATAATTTTCTATTAAGAATTGATATGAGATCATGAAAATATATTTTTTTTCAAAATTTGATATTAAAGATATTGGCGACAATATAAAATGCTACAAATATTGTATATGTTTTATTTAGAACAGTGTGAACAGTTTGCAAATGTCTTAATTTAAATGAAGTAGCAGAAAATGTTTGAATTATGTGAAAGTACTTCTAAAAATGTGATAGTCCGTTTTTTTGATATAGATTGATTTTTTCAAGTAAAAAAGCCTGTCTTTTTTTCTTTAAAAACAAAAGAATTTTATGCTTTATATAGACTTTTTCACATAACTCAACAAATATGCAGCCATATATACCATTTTTCACACAATATCTATATAAAGATATGCTAAAGAGGGTAATAAGGTACTAAATTTTCTTACTGACATTGCATTGCATTTATAAAAATATAATATCACCGAAAAAGAAAGTTTATTGGATTACATATTGAATCACTTAAGTAGCAAACAATATAAGTGACGAATAACGAAATAAATATTAAAAAAAAAAAGAAAAAATTCGGCAAGCAACAAGTGGAAAGAAACACCAGAACATCACAAAGAAAGAATTGTACTTGGAAGACATCAAAAAGTAACACACGTGAAATACATATTTAGATTTGATCATCAAAGCATGCGACAGATTAAAGTATATAAATCGATATCAACCACTTAAGCAAGAACTTTGCGACATGCATTTAAAATAATTCATACATTTAGTTAGATTTGTGTTTTTAACTACAAAAATAAATCATTATATATATATTTTAATAAAACTATTAACATTGATTTATTAATAAAATATATTTGAATTACGTTGTGAGTAATATAACAATAAATAATTATACCAGATAAACTTAACTCATTTAAAAAAATCATATTTTCTATAAACTGTAATAAATTGCTTAACATTTGGATTTTTATAACAAAATGTTTAGAAAATTTTTTAAAAACTATTTAAAATTCAAATAGTTAGTGTTAATCATATTATCCTTAAAGTATAGGTTGTAACTTATTAGTCTATTAGAGTAAAAATCTAATCTGTTACTATTTTAATTATAGAAGAATTAATTTATAGTTGTAACTTTATGTACAATGTTAATAAAAAGAGAACAAAAACTACTTATATATAAAGTTTTAAATATATATATATATCTATATATATATTTACGACTAATTACTAATACTTCTGTCTTTTTAACATTTCATAAAGAGATAATTTTTTTCAATCTTATTTGTAATACATTGCTATCATTAGTTGCGCATATCTCTATTGAAAATGCTTTTTTTAATCATTATTTTATAAATGCTATTGCATTTTACTGTGAACATAGTTATTTATAGGTAATTTTGTGAAAAATAACTGCACTTATTAATAACACAATTTACCGACAAATTAAAAATATTAAATAAAAAGAAATAGTAATTTTGGTCTAACACAAATTAGTGATTTGTTTCAATTTATAAGACGTTGTTTTTTTTTTTTTTGGAATAAGTGCCAAAATAACTGTCTTTTATTGCACTAAACTTGTACTATTTACTTTTAACGGATTTAGCTTACTAACTAAAAAAATATCATTTCTAAATGAAAAGTATTTAAATAGCATACTTTAATAATAAAAACTTCACTTTTGATTTAATCTTTGGTTGCAATATTTTCATTACTTTTTAACTTTGAAAAACTAATTCAGGTTTTTCCTTTAAATATTCTTGTAGTTTTGGCGGTATAGGTAAATTGGAAATTTCTTCGACTGATGCACTACGTTGTATTACACGGCGGCACAAATCTTGCAATAACGGCATCTTATAGTAACGACTTAGTGGATATTTTAAAATAACTGGAAATGGTGGTTGCATTTCATTTGGTACCTTTACAAAACAAACGAAGTTATCATTTGTGCAACGATAAAGTATATCCTCTATCATTTCGACTAGTGATTCATATTGAAGCTCTTCAAAACGCCAATAATTATCACGATATTCCAAACGGTAATGAAGTGTAACGTTGACAATACGAAAACTTAAAGTGAACTGACATTCACTAGTTTCAGAATCACGCACAAGAAAAGTGCCAGTTGGTTTATCTGTTAATTGTCGTTGAGCATCACGGCGAGAGATATCACCCCAATACCAGACTTGACTATAATTAAAAATATTTTTTCATAAAACTTTATAAAAAAGAATAGCTATAATATAAACCTTAACATTTCAGAGCTAGCTTTATACATAACACGATTTGGTCCTGATTTACCATGAAGCCACTTTTTTTCAATAAACTGCTTATAGTCATGTGTAAATGGTATCATTTCGGGTTCCTCATAACCAGTGCCACGAGAAAAACTAAATGATAGCAACATTCCCATATGAGGCTCTTGAGTTGATGATTGTGTCACAAATTCATACGTAGCATCCGTTGTACCACCTCCTCCTCCATCATCTTTTGATGACATATCACCTCGACGTAGTGAATAAAATCGAGAATGAATTGTTTTACGGAAGCGTGTAAATACATTTTTAATATCTTTCTTTTTACGATAAGCTCCTGTTGTTGCGCTTACAGCATCTGTAACTGTCGTATTTTGTACAGGTTCATTATTATTATTTTGTAGTTGTGGTTCGGGACTATCCAATGTGGGCGTGGTTGTAGCTGATTGAGACTTTTTGCGTCTGGTTAAAGAATGGAACCAGTTGCGTTTTGTTTTAACATTGCTTGTCGAAGTTAATTGAGATGTTTCATCTTGATGTTCTGTGTTATTTTCGCTCATTTTTGCTACATGCTCTATTTTTATATATTATTAATATATTTGTTTACTCTACTTTGTCTTCTTCACTTCAATCAATTATAACTTCCGATTTGCACTTATCAGTATGAATATATCAGAAAATATTTTAATATATCAGATAAGATGTTTTGTTTTTTTTTGTTGGTATTATAATTTTTTTCTCATTACAGGGTTGTATTATTTTGGTACGGTATGAACAGAATTTGAAAGTGTTCATAAAATCTCTAATATTTAAATAACGGAATTTTGTTTAAATCACTAAAAACATTTCCGATTGGATTCTTAAATTTTTAACTCTTAGCTATATTATTATCAGTTGCCAACGGCTGAAAAAATAGATAAAATTTTTTTATTGAAACAATAGAATACACATAAACCATGTTTCTACCTGTCACATTTAAGCAGTCACATTATAAGCAGTTATGGAGGCATTGAAAGCGTATGTAAAACTTTTAATATATTGCATATATTAACATCTGTATCCAATTTTAATATATAGATTTGGCATAAGGTCTTTGGTGTAAAATAAAATAAAAGAGTTCTTGATAATATTTTTTATTCTTTTTTTAATATGATAATAGTTTTGATTACAACATAAATGTGTTCAAGTGGAACTAATAAAATGAACTAATTTTTGTAACATTATGCAAACATATGTTTATTAAGTAAATTAAATCTTGATGTTTAAAAAATATGTTTGGTTATATAGCGTTTACACTGGCCTCAAATGATTGATTTGGGTAAAAATCACAAACGAAAAGCAAATGACTGATTTCTGTATACAAAATCTCATATGCGCAAATAAAATCCATATATATTAAATTTGTGAAGTTTCAATGCTCACTGTTTCAATGTTTATAATGCTTTAATATTTTGTCAATTTCATTATGATCATAAATTTATTATTATTATCGTATATGATTCTACTTCTTGTATGCTGAAGCTAAAACTGGTGTCATATGAACGTCATTTATATTTGTTAAGGCCGCATGTGTTATTTTTTTTAATGATTGATATTAATTATTATTTAAATTGAAATAATAAACACAATTTAACTGTTGTTCTAGTGAAATCATTTGGATTTATCTTGATTTTACATTGAATGTATTCAATGAGAGTTTAGTGAAATCATTTGGATTTATCTTGATTTTACATTGAATGTATTCAATGAGAGTTTGTATAATAAAAATAATTAAACAATGTATAAACATACTATTAAATATATATAATAAATTTACATATACAGTTTGAATATGATAAAACAATTTACTTTAATTATCAAATCAAGCATAATTGATTATGTTATTCTTCATATTTTAAATAAATTTATTCAGGTATAGTAATAAGTTGTTTACATTACATGCAAGGCTGGTAAACTTTTAAGCCAGTTGCTAATTTGTTAATGTAGATAACATTCTAAATTTCCAAAGAAAAAAAAAATAGAATAAATAGAAAAGTCTTTTTTATTACGCATTTGAGCAACCCTGCAAAGTGATAAATTTAATATCAGATGGTTTTATTTACATCCGCGTGAGTGCCAAAATTAATATCGTATTGTTTATAGTGGTGAATTCTTATAATTTATATTAAAAAAGTAAGTTTTTATTTTTAATTTATCATTAGTTTAAGTAAACTTAAGTGATTGTATGAATTGAATTTTAAACAGATTTAATAATCTTGTATTAAAAAAAGTTTTTTTTAACTGTTTGGAAGCAAGTGAACTGTTTCGATATTCAATGAATTAATATGAATTTATTAAATAAATAATATCGTAATGTGTGATAATTGAATTTTAAAAGAGTTAGAATAAATGAAAATTATTGGCATCAAAGTATCTATATTTAAAACTAATAAAATAAATAATACTGTCACTATAAAAGTGCAGCGGCTTCTTTCAATAAAAATATACGCAAAATGTAAACAAATGTGATTTAGTTTGTTATGCAAAGTTCTACGTATAAGAGTGTATATTATTAGGACTATAATTAGTTATACATTATTTTATATAGTAAAGGTAACTACATTTGCTTCTGAACTTTTTTACGTGGTGTATATCAACTGAATTATTGTTGTTTTACTGAGTCCAATTCGCGATGCATTTATGCAAGAAAAACTATTTTAATTACGGCCGTTAGTTTTATATTTCAGATGATTTAATACAAATTCGTTGAAAACTTAAACCATTAGATATACTAATTAATATGTATATTTTAAATGTATATTCATTATATTACTAGAGATAGACCAGAGATTGTCAGCAATCCACTTAACTTACATACTTGTTGATAAATTCCAATTAGAAACGTATCGATTCGTCATCGAAGGCATCTGCAAGATATGGTATATATAAGACTAATGACCAATCGATCCAAATGTATATCTCTCATTGAAGTTATAACTTAAATAGTTTATTTTATGACGCTAAATAATATCTAAAATAAACTAGATAAACTAATACTAATGCAGAAACCACGGTTGTAACACAAGTTTCTTAACATTCTTTCGTTTTTAGTTTCTTCAGAATGAAAAACATCTTCCACATGCAGCACTAATTGCCTTATTCCAATTGTGGTCCTCTTATAGACACTTATTAAACAGTTACTTGTCACTTACACATTTTAAATGTCTTTTCTAAATGTGTACCTTAACTGTAGTTCTACTTCTCATGGCGATATCTCCAAATGTTCTTCAAATCTCGATCTACAAATGGGCACACATATTTAAGCCCCATGAATTTATGTTTTCATTTTATCATGGTGACTAGATTATTTTACTTAGTTGAGTCTAATAATTGCGACTATCGCCTTTTCCTATTCGCTTCCCAATTCCCAACTTTACGTGTACATTTGGTAAGTACTTTCATGTACTTGGTTTTACAAATGGGTAACAACGCCATAGTTCGGTCAGAAAGACAGTTTTGTGATATTGTACATATTGAAAAAATATTTCAATATGATTTCTATTATATTCTAATTATTACAAACAATTCCATTTAAGTTTGTAAGGTTATGACAAATTAAATGCCAATTTTTTTTCTGATACTATATATATCCGTTGTTTAATTTTGATATGTATTTTTAACAGAAGAATTACCAGGGGAAAGGAGTAATAAAGGGCGAGAGGGTGAAGCTCTTCTAAATAAATAGTAGTACCATATTTATGGTATACATGTATGTATTAAGTATAAATGCATTGACTATTTGAAAACATTATTTTAAAATTACTCAAATTTTTTGAAAGCGTCTCTTAAATACATTTTAGGCGACAGGACTGACTATTAAATTTTTAATTATTGTATAGCAAAAAGCAAATGTGCTAGATTTTATCTAGTTTTTCTATAATAATTTTTCTTCTTTAAAAATCAATTAATTTATTGTACTTACATATGCAATTGTCTTGTCCATTAACTCAATATATCTGCATTTTCAATTAAAGTATAGACAATAAATTATAATTAAAAATATATATTTATTATATTTCAAGTCATATATTAATAATAAATAAATAAATAAATTCATTAAAATCATTGAATAACATAAATTCTTATAGACATAAATTTATGATAGAATGAGTTCATTTTAATACCTTTTTAATTACAATTAATTGAACTTATTTTACATGTGTGAAATAATATAATAAATTAATAAAATAAATTAATGAAAATTCAGTGAAGTAGGAACACGTAAAAAATACGAAAACAAATAACTGAATGTGTGCAATATGAAATCTATTCGCCTATTTATCAGTTTAACTTTTTGTATATTTTTACACTTAAGGCTATAAATTAAATATAGTAAATATTTTGAAAAATTCTTCTCAAA